TCTTTGAAATCATCAGGAAGAGGTTCGGATGAGAGGAGTTTGGCGCGAGAGTGAATGAGTGTTACTTTCTGCTCAGGGTCAACCATCTTGATCTCAGCAGCCATCTCGACGCCAACAGCACCTATGGCTTGTCAGGTTTATTCTATACACATATATACAAAAGGTACGAAGAGTACTTACCTCCACCAATGACTATAACTCCTTCCTTCGCATCCTTGACTTCTCTGATATGCGTTCCTACCTCGGACAGATATGCCTTCCTCGTCGAAGCCTGAGGAACAGCAGGCCACTGTCTTCTCAGTCCCGATGCAACAACAAGATAATCATAGCTCTCCGCATATTCCTTTCCCAAGATGTTATCTGCAATCGTGGCAGCTTTGGTTTCGGTATCGATGCTTACAACGCTGCCTTGAGCCCAACTTATGCATGGTAATTGAAGGGCCGGTAGGTCTGCGAAGCGAACCCAATTCTTCTTTGCATAATCTTCAGACGCGAGTGCTAGTGGGGAGCCGATGAGATGATCTGGAGGTTTGTACATGCTAAGCAATGTTTTCGAGAAAAAGTCCCAGGCATGCTTCGCGAGAGCTTACAATATCCATCCCTCTCATCAACGATCTTTATCTCGATGGGTATAAGTTCTCCACTCGCTCCTTTAGGATCATATCGTGTCGCTCTAGCTTCTTTTCCATTGCAGAGATCGTGTAGATTCAAAGCTGCGGAGAGACCTCCATATGAACCTCCAATAACCAAGATCTTGATCGGCGTTTCGATAGAGCCCATTTTGCTTTGATCTGGATATGCTAGGGAGAAGAAAGTCTGTGGACTCCGACAATGATATACAGACAGACAGAAAGGAACAAGATAGATGAATGAAAATAACGAAATACTATTTATCATAGAGCTCACCGAAATGAAGCTCGGAGTCAAACAGGAAGCTTTACGTACGAGGTCTTGCCCAGGCATCTGGAGCTGTATCGTATGCTATTTACGCGTACGTACTTGGCAGGTAGATGAAAGTCTCTTCTCTCGTTGGTTTCCTAGCAAGAAAACGGTACCTGGACTCGTGCCGCCGCGCTTGTGCATCTATCTGCCTTACGGATTCCACGTCGCGGGTGAGGAATTCGTATGACCCGACGCCATATCCAAAGTCACGGTCAAGTTGTCCGGGAGGGAGACTTTGTGATGAAGCCGATGTCGCTCGCTGCTCACGATATTTCGGAATCAGTCACCCAGCTTCCCAACGGAACACCTGACACGGAAACAAGAGAGAGATCCCCGACCACGACCTCCACTTCGGCTCCACATACTGTACGGAGCATGCATGCCACGCAATCCTCGGATCTCATCTGATTAGATCTCTCGGCCCTATCACGACATCCTCGCCCCATCATCCCAGATCATCATGGATGCAAGGATACTGAAACATGCCTGCCAAAAGAAAAAGCTCGCATGGACTGACTAAAGCAAGTGAAATGATCTAATAGCGTCGGCCTTGCTAAAGCACGATTAATGAGCATCCCAGGAGACTTTCAAGGGTCGTTAGGACTCGTCGAAGTCGCCGCTCCAGCGTGCAGAGAGAGCGTGTGACGTTGTAATGCGCCATCAAGCGGATCCGATAACCTAAAAAGACTGCATGAACCTGACTAGCTCACTTCCTTAATCTTATCAGATCATCTTCCGACATTTGGGGATACTTTGCTTCCAGTTACTTGAGAGAGTTCAGGACTCTGGATAGTGATTTATTGGTTGTATATAGCGGAAAAGTGGACTTGCCCGATTGGGACAGGGCTGGATGTTTTTGTCGAAGGTTTTTTTGTTTTAGTTTGTAGGATGCTGGTGGATGGCTTTAATAGGTCCTCCTTGTTTACGTATGCCCCCCCCCCCCGGCACTGTTGGCGAGTAGACATGCAAATCTGCGATTGAAGCCGAGATCTGAAAATGGTGCGAACTTTAGGTGTTGCTTGCTGCTCTAAGGAAATTCTCGAGGTTTGATCTTCGAAGCTTGTGGATATGTTCGGCATATGAAGGGACGAGATGAGGCAGTTGGTTTTGGCAGCTGGAATGACGAAAACGGGCAAGTCACCAATACCGGAGAACAGCTCTTCAACGGTATCGATTTCTCCCTCGGCAAGATGGAAGCTCAATGTAGTGGGTCTTGTAGCAAGGGTCACGCATATATTTATGACCCTGAAGCAATACCGTTCCTGTGGTCTAGAAAAGCCGCTTCTACTTGGATTGTAAGGCTTCCCGTACGACATCACCTGCAGATAGGATAGATATAAGGACAACTAAACCAACATTTTGCCATCCTTCAGACCTGAGAGAGAGACTGGTCGAGCGTAGTCAACACCCACATATATAGTCCTGAATCTCCATCGCAAAATGGCTTCTTCCACCATCCCTCTTCAGCGTTTACAGCAAACGCAACACCATCTTGCTGGTACTTCAACCGAAAACCCCACAGATCTATCAATCGTCCACGGAGAACTCGAGCCTCCGCTGCGAGACTTGACCTTAGGAAGTCTACTCGACGAACAATGCGAGATAAGAGGAGATAAAGAATGTCTAGTCGTAGCACACACTGGTGTCCGATGGACATACTCGAAACTCCAACAGCAGAGCAGGATTCTAGCTAAAGGATTACTGGCAGTTGGGCTGGAAAAGGGTGATAGGATTGGCATTCTGGCTAGCAATTGTGAGGAATATGCTGCGACTTTCTTCGCTGCTGGGTATCTGGGATGTATTTTGGTTGTGCTGAATGCAACATATACCGCGGAGGAGGCTTTGCATGCGTTGAAGCATTCTGGTAAGTCTTCATCTTCCGGGATACTTCACTTGTCACTTGTTGCAGAAGAGACCTGACTCGCACATATCTAGGATGCAAAGTACTTTTTATCGAAGAGAAGTATGGACGGCATTCCAACGCAGAACTACTGAGCCAGCTTAGCGAGGATCGCAACCGAACACCAGAACTGAAGACGATAGCGACTCTGCACGGAACCTTCGAAAAGTTCACGACGTACTCAGATGTGAAAGATGGACTCAGCTCGAAAATATCGGTCGAGGAATTCGAGGCTGCGAGGAGGTTAGCACATACACATGATGTATGCAACTTGCAGTATACGAGTGGTTCGACAGGGCATCCAAAAGCTGCGATGTTAACTCACCAGTAAGATGATGACACTTCAAAATTGTTGGAGGAGCTAAATCAAGGACACCAATAAGCTAATTGTTTATAGCAATTTGATCAATAATGCGCGCTTCATTGGCCATCGCATGTCCTTCACATCTGCCGATGTCCTCTGCTGTCCGCCACCTCTCTTCCACTGTTTCGGTCTCGTCCTCGGTCTCCTAACCTGTCTTTCCCACGGCGCATCCATCATCCTCCCCTCACCCACCTTCTCTGCGCCAGCCGTTCTCTCTGTCCTCTCCAGCGAACGCGTTACAGCACTCCACGGCGTGCCCGCCATGTTCGAAGAACTTCTCTCCTTGCCCCGGCCCTCAACCTTCTCCTGTCCCCATCTCCGAACCGGAATCATAGCCGGAGCACCAGTACCAAAGCCTCTCATGGAACGTCTCTTCGAAGAGCTGAACATGACGGAATTCACGAGTAGTTACGGCTTGACGGAAGCGAGTCCTACCTGTTTCAACGCTACCTGTACAACGAGTATCGAGCGCAGACTCAACAGTGTCGGCAAGGTAATGCCACATATGCATTGCAAGATTGTTGCCCGAGACGGGAGGACGGTGAGGATTGGAGAGAGAGGAGAGTTGTGTATGGCGGGCTATAGTTTGCAGAAGGGATATTGGATGAATGAGGAGAAAACGAAGGAGTGCATGGTTAGGGATGAGAGCGGGGTACTTTGGTTGCATACTGGTGATGAGGCCGTGTTTGATGCGGAGGGGTATTGTACTATCACGGGACGGTTTAAGGATATTATCATCAGAGGTAAGTTCACATACAACACCCCAAGGAAGCGAAAACAGAGGACTCGGCTAATCACGGTGGTGAATAGGAGGCGAAAACATCTACCCCGTTGAAATCGAATCACGACTCACCTCCCACCCATCAGGCCACGTCTCTAGATCCGCAGTCGTCGGTATCCCACACCACAAATACGGTGAAGTGGTCGTGGCTTTCCTGCTCCCATCTTCGTCTTCCCATTGGCTTGACCGGCCGACAGATGACGAGCTGCGAGTCTGGGTTCGTCAGGCTCTGGGATGGCATAAGGCGCCCGTGCATGTGTTTTGGTTTGGCGATGAAGAGGTGGGAATGGATGAGGTGCCCCAGACAGGAAGCGGGAAGGTGAAGAAACATGTGTTGAGGAAGGTTGGAGAGGAGATTGTACAGGGATTGAGAACGAAGGGTTTGGAGGCGAAAGAGAAGGGGAAGAGGAAGGTGGTCGTCAGCGAAATTGCGGAAGAAGAACAGACGATGCAGTGAGAATCATACGGAGAGGAACTTGTAGCGTTGCTGCTCGCTAGAAGTAGAAGCTCATATAGATGGATGTTTCTTACACGGCGGTTGTAATTACGAGGAAGTACCAATTTTCACAATTTGGATCCGGCTTAGCATGAGTGCCTAGGAGGAAGGAGGAGCATGTAGAAACGCGTAATGGTGCAAAAAGGAGATAAAAGATTTTTCATTTACTTTGACTAAGCCCTGCCTGCTAGGTATGTATCTATCTCTGTCTATCCATGTATGAGTTAGTTAGTCTGTAAATAAAGTATGATTTTTCTCTCTTTTAGCGAGAGAAGAAGAAGAAAGGGAGACAGACAATAGCGGGGTTCAGCGGGGTAATGATTCGCTTGCAGCTCGGCGGATTCCGCACATGAGAACTTTTCATTTACAAGACGATTCATTAAGAGAGATATGCCAAAGACTAATTAACCTGCTGGTAGAAAGAACTCTCTCTCTCTCACTCAGTCGGACTTTGATAGCCTCAACGCGGAGAAATCCGCAAGCATATAGAAGACAAAAAGTGCAAAAGTATGAATTCTGATCAGGCTGGGGCTCGATCCCAGGACCTTCTCGGATTGTGAAACAATGAGACTGTTAACGAGATGTGATAACCAACTACACCACCCGACCATGACTCGTGTTATACAACGGCACTATTAACATTATTATCACTTTGTGAAAACTGCGCGCCGACAGAAAAATATGATTCCGCGATCCATAAGGACCGGACCCCAACAAGTTTCTGTGTTAAAAGAACAAATCAAGGTAATTTAGATAATTTGTGGATCAGAATTTCTCGGAAATACAAAAGTATTCAGATGTTATAGGACCACATCAACGGGTTCTGAAATCTTGAAAAAGTTACTGTATTCACCGCCGAAAGATAAACTACAGGTCATTTCTACGAAATGTACCCTCATAACTCCACGAACCTCCAGGCTACCTGTACACTAAAGCGACAAGCGAGTATCGTTCTGATCCAACATGTGGAACATATCATTTGATTTGAGAGGACTTGACAGGATAATGATGATACCGTCTGAGTAATTATTGTGAGTCGAAAAGACCTAAGCAGTACACATCATCATTTATCCGCGTAAATTGCATAATTCCTGAGCCTGGAGAATTATAAGGCTGAAAATAGGTAGACTGAGTCATGCTCTCGGTCGGAGGAAGTAGATGGCTGATCTTGACAAGCGAGACCGCCAACTTTCAACATGAATACCTAGGTAGCATTTTATTCCTCGACGTAAAAATAGAGAAAGCTCATGAGATTTCAGCGAGGTACTAAGAAATAGTCAAAGATTTTTTTAAACTAACTTCTAAATACACCAATTCATAGAAAACTGATGAATCACTGTTCCGTTAAGGAACACGCTCCATGTCAAAATCGGCCTATTCCTCCGACGGCATTTCCAAGGATCTTCGCAGTACTCAAGTATGATTGTTCGTGACGGACTTTCCTCTCCAGCTATTGAAACAGCGAACAGCCAGCCAAGCTACCAAATTCCTCGACCTAGCGAGCAATGCCTTCAAGCCATAAAAAGAACAAGAAAAAGAAGCAGTTAACGTAATCTCGGAAATATATACTAATTAAACCAAGAGATCTAATCACATCAGCCTAAGACATAAAATTTTCCATCCCGTCCCGTTCTCCTCCTACCCCTGCCTGCCTGCCTCGCCGCTTGCAGCTCGATACAGCTTGATGCGACATGGGTTAGGATCTAATCTAATCAGATGATCCACCTTCCTTCATGAAATGTTACTGTACTCCGTCTAGCAGTGCTAAAGTACTGTATGTCACCCGAAGCCACATGCATGCATGCATGTACTGGGAGGTACCTCAAGTAACTTTGACTTTCCTCCTTCGCTGTCGTGTGCATGTCATGGTGGAAGAAGAGTTTATTTCGGCGAATCATGTCGATTTGACGGATTCTTTCTCACAAGGTGTTTCGGATGTTACCATACGGAGGTACAGCGGTCAAGTGTTGTCATAGATCTAGCAGGGGGTTCAACTGGACTTGCTACCTTAGAGGCACTGGCAGAGGCATTTGAATGGCACGGAATGGTCGAATGGCGGTCAAAGGATAGTTCCGAATATGAACAGTCCTCTAAATGGGGAATCACTAGGGGACGGTCCTTAGGTCAGGGAATTTCTCGTTGTTTTCTTATCAAATACAGTACCAAGAGTAGAAACACTTGATAGTAGGTCAATACTCGGTATCGACGCTAGCTTATCAACTTTAACATAGTGCTTAGAAGGAGTTGATATTCAGTCGATTTAGTAGAAGTATACTCTAGGTAAAAATAACTCCTAGTATTACCTAGGGAAGTCGAAGAAGGAAAATTCACAGAGTTATACTCTAGCCTTATATCTGTTATTAATTACTATTCTAGGACTGTTCTTCACTCTTGAATCATTCTCTAGGAAGTAAAATTTTCTAATTTGAATAGTCCTTCTAAGAAGGAACTAGTAGAGACCCGACCCTAGTGATCCCCTTATTATACCTCTATTCATATGCCGAACCGTCCAGAGGCCGTCGCTTGACAGTTATTTTACACCTCCGCTTGCCTGGAAGGTATACAAGGTAGTGACCAGGTCTATAGCTAGACAGAAATCACCCAGGTAGTGAAGGGGAAGTTAGTGCGATCTAGAGATATTACGATTGATAGTAAAGTCCCCTGGCCCCCTGCTAGCTCTATGACAACACTTAACCGCTGTATCTCCGTAGAGTACGTGTCCCGTTTTTTACGATCCTTCATATTGTATTCCGATACACGGTCTCCGCTTGGGATGCAAAACCTGACTACTTACCTGCCGAGCTCGGAAGATGGGCGCGGAGGGTAGCTGGATTTGATGAGTTAGTCACGGCTATGTAAGTACATTTCAAGCTCTTGTGCATTGTTATACTCCGCTGGCTTTTGGCCGTGTGGCTTTCCTGGTGTCCCTAATGCCAGCTAGAGTGATGATGGTGAGTTGAACCTTGACTGCGCGGGAGAGATGGACAACTGTGTCTAGAGAGTGTCGAGTTCCTTAGCTTGTAATCAAGCTGCTATCGTAACTAGCAGAGATAGAGGTACTTTACAACAACCTCGAATGAGATAGCGGAGTTTTTGTGAAAATTATGGGTATCCAATGAAGTGATGAACACCGCTTGTCAGAAGTGCAGACGCCAAGAACAGAATGTGGTGCGGCAGTTCGCTATGGCAAGAGTGGCAGGTAGGAGAAAGATTTGACCAGCCAGAGTGAAGGATGCAGAAGGAGCTTCCAGGAGAAGGTTGGCTCCCGAGTCTTTACAGTCCAGGCAGGACGAGATACTCCTGCCGACTTCCTTGTCTCGTCAGCCGAATAACATGACAGATTCTTGACACCATGTCAGATCGTCGAGCAGCTCTGCTCTCGTAGACTCGCACTCGTCTGAAGTCCTTGGACATCGACTATACGGATTTCAATCGTTCAGTCACCCACAAGATACATCTAGATCTACACAAAAGTGACCCGTTCCTGCTGCTGGTTGTCAACGATTGAACACCTCCCCTCCATTGTCTTGTCCCGAACCCTGCCGCCTAACATCTGTCAAGTAAACAGAGCAATCCACGCCGGTCACGATTAACCTCGGCATCTACCCTGTTCCTACCTACCCCTGCTCCGGTGAGATGAGATGAGATGATCTGATAAAATAAGATAAGATTAAGCCCTTGAAGCAAGACCTGTGAAAACTCTGTTTCCCCACTGGCTTGCATACACATTCGTCACCGAAGTGTATCCCGCGTGGTACAGGCACATTCCATGCATGACCTTCCCCTTCGACCCAAGACTCAAGGCTTGTCTAACCGGGTTCTGCAAAATCCCGCCTTGGGTTCTGTTCTCCTGTCGTACGAAAGTCATGTAGCGTGACATCGGCCGTGAAGTGTGGCTTCTCAAGGTTTTGAGGAAAACAATCAGTCGACGACACGTCGTAGACAGGACCTCTCTCATCCATGGACCGGTCACCTGGCAAGAAGTAGAAACCCGAGCAGAGCAAGAGTATGGGAGGATTTGCAGATGCTGAGTGATTCGCATCAGGGAGCGCCGCGTGGATGTCGGGAGAGAAAGAAAAAAGCTGCAAATACCTCTCTCCGTTGAAGAAATGCTTAGACGAGTAATACCGAACCGTTCCGACGAGGCGTGGAGCTTGTTCTGGTACATGTCGGACTTCTTAAAGCAGCGTGTGAGCTCGAATAGTGGAGAGGTAGGTGCATGGATCTTAAGAGCCATACATCAGCCGAGCAATAATCTAATCTTCGATGATCTGATAAATAATCTACAGTAGCGTCCCAGTGTAGCTGTGCAAGCGAAAAGTGGTTTCAATTGGTGGACTTCATAACATGCTCGTTTGAGGATCTACATGGACCAGGACTGCATGACAGCTTGATGTAACGAGCCGGAGCTGCTTACTGGATTTCTCGGAAACTCTAGGAGAAATCTGGATCCCTTGGGCGAATATGGAGTGGGCTTCTGGAAGATGGCAATTAATGAGAGAACCATCAGAAGTAGATCTAGAAGGGGTGGATGTATCCTGATGGTCGGTAAGCATTGCAAGTGCTGGGCTGGGCTAGGCGGGATGAGACAGACCATGCTCCTCTTTTGTACGGAATATGTGCAGAAATGTAATGGAACCGACACTAACAAGCGAAGTTAAGAAATTGGAGGCGTCCGATCTTTTGACATTCCATTCTTGGCCGAATTTGAAGCTAAAAACTTTGCTTCACTGTATTCGAATCCTCGTTTGAAAATTCTACTTCTATGACATGATCTTCTTCTGATCATCCTCGACTAACCAGAGATACTATTTCGCAAACCTTCTAGACTTCAAGATTCACATCACGGCTTCCTTTCTCTGCCCGATATCTCGCTCTTGCGGTTATATCATAGCGGTACGTACTTTTTCTCAGATTCACTTGCTTCCAGTCCCAGAGCGGCTCCAACAAGCCGTGTTTGAGAATTTCTAGCTTTAGTAGTCGTACATAGCTTTGCTTTTCTCGCCACAAGGAGGGCGCGCTCACGCTACTGGCTCTGTCAATCACATCCTCTCTGTCGCCTTTCCAAGATGTGATACATACGCATGTTGTTGGGGTCACATATTCAGTGGCTCGCGTGAAAACCTGGTTGCTAAGTGATTTATAGGTTACGATTGGTCCAATACCCTTTGTGAAAGACTTCATCTGATTTGCTCCGTCGACGACTGTAGGTACTTCGATAGAAACCGAGCCCTCAGAATAAGAGTACTTGAAGGGCTTTCTGAGTTGCTTTAATACTCTAAGTTTTGCAAGATCACTCATTGCTACTTAATCGAGAGATAAACACCAAGAATGGCTTCCAATACACAAGAGATCGGTGATGACCTTACGTGGACTCGCAATGAGCAAGTGTAAGTCCAACTTCCCATTCTTACAACAATCGAGCAAACATGACAACTCAACTCCCTCGATCAAAAAGAGCCACATCCAGGCCACAGATAGTCAGTACAATGCTTAACATCATCAACAGTTCCATCCCCTCCAAAGTATCACCCCAAACCACTATCGAAGATTTAATCTGCATCGGATTCGGGCCAGCCTCGCTCGCCATCGCCATCGCCCTCTCGGAC